TGAAGTAGTAGTAAAGGATAATGGTATTAATAATCTTGAAGTGTATGTTAATTATATGATTGAATCATATAATAGGATAATATTATATTATGATAGAAGTGAATAAAGAATGTACGTTATGTCTAACAACTAATTAGTTTGGGGCAAAGATCAACATGTTCTTCTTCGTGTACACAATGTACCAAACAAACAAACATTCAATGATAGGAGGAGACTTCATTCGAATCCAATCGATGTATTTTCAAATAACACAGCACTGAATGGTTGGAAAAGTGTGAAGAGACGACCAGGTTATGGGCTAGGACAAGTGGGTTGTGGGGCTGTTTCAGTGAGTGTGTGGGCTTTGGGCTCGCCTATTCTTCGTTCATCACTTTCGGGGAGATATTTGGGTGATTATCCTTTACCTTAATGTAATGCAAAAGGTTATCATAATACAATACACTCCCTGACTCAGTTTACTCTATCCACTGATCATTCAAACTTTAATTATTGTTCACTTGAGTTGAACATCGATACTTGACTACATATTACTATTGTTTACAACGACTACGGTCAATCATCACTTGATCAAGATCACTACTACTTAACTAACCCAGTGTAGAGAAGATTTGGATGTAGCGAATTGTAGGATTGTTATAAATGTGAAGTTGAGGAAGGCCTCACGACAAAAGGGAGGGATTGATCATTTTGATAGATCAAAGTTGATTGATAGATCAATCAATCAATCTATTCAATCACACACAATACAATGAGAGGACCTGAAGTGGCACCAATCAAAGTGGTGATCATTGGAGAAATTGGATTGACGAGGTCTGTGGAATACATTGAGCAAAGTCACAAGCTTACAGTGGATGAAAAGGTGTATGACATCACATTGGTCGACACAACACAAGTTGATAACTACCTTCCCCAAGTGTCAAACTACACTCATCGATGCCGATATCATTCTTCTATGCTTCAATCCCCAGGTGGAGGCCTCTCTGGAACAAATGCTAAATCAGGTAACAACCACTCTGAAGATGCAAGCGGACTGACCAAACATGAGATCTTACCTTTACCTACATCACAAAGTATTATCCACAAGTGGATCATCAGGTTAGAAAGAAGCCTCTTTTGTATATCTTATCAATAGGCTGTCCAACAACAGACACTACTGATACGTATCAAAAGAATTATATTGACATTATAGATCGAGTCTGCAACAAGTCCAAACAAATCATATATGGGGGCAAGTTGGATTGTCCAGATCTCCAATTTGATCACTTGAAAGACAATATTATCATCCCAGGTGCTAAGACCTTACTGGAACAGAGATCAAAACCAAAGCCCTCTCTCTGTATTATTTGTTAACAAACATAGTTGCCAACAACATCCAGGTTGGTCAAACAATCCATCCTCATCGTCGTCGTCATCAAACATTATTCATTGTATAAGATCGGATAACTTTAATTGCTAATTGTCCATGTTCATCATTGAGTTGGAACTCCTGATGCAGATGGTGACACACTTCCACAATTATTGTCATTACCAATGTCGACTACGACAAGGTTGTCATTCATCACTTGGTCAAGATCATCACATTCACTAGAGGGGTAGGAGAAGCCCTCAAGCATCGACAATATACTATCTGATTTGACCATCATTGGTGGCTTACTTGGTCGATTGGATGATGTGGTTGTTGTCGTTGATGTTGTGGCACAACCGTCACCACTCAAGTTCGGACTTGATAACAATGACTCATCTTTGGATGATGATGTTGTTGATGTGCCACCGACCAATGATGACTGATCATTACCATCGGGTATTGGTGCGACATCACTAACTGCTCGATCTAATGATGGATTGCCAACCATGTATGTGTATAGATTTGGCTGTGGTGAGCTGGTTGTAGGATTGTAGCCACCATATATATACAATTGATTCTTATGAGTCACCAATGAATACTGACCAATGCCCTTTAGATCAAAGTAGGGATTGATCTTGGTCCACTTGCGGGTCTCAAAGCTATAACTCCACAGATCGTTGTAGTATGCCGATCGATCCCAACCGCCTACACACCAGAGATTGTTGTCATAGACAACTGTCCTCAAACGTGATCGTGAGCAAGGTCCATCGCGATTATCCATCAATGGCATCCATTGATCGTTGAGCAAGTCGTAGCTGTATGGGAACTCTGTGTGGCCATCAGGGCCATAACCACCAATGATATACAATGAGTTATCAAACAGTACGCAACTATGTGATCGAATGCATGGTGGTGGTGTACCCTTGGCGGGTACTCTACTCCACTCCTCAGTCACTTGATTATAATATATGTTAGCAATGTCGGGTTGGCTTGGAGGGGACTGCAGGGGAACTTACAAAAGTTGAAACGGAAGAAAGAGTTGTTTGACTCAGTACCATCCCATCCACCGAATATATACATGTAGTGATTCCAGACACAGGCACAATGTGCTGAACGACCAGTGGGAATTGCACCTTTACCCTGTATTGACTTTCCTTCGAATGTTTCCAAGTCCAACTTATAAATCGATACATCCAAATATGTCTGAGGACCAGAGTATCCTCCAAAGATATACATGGAATCTTGATACACCACCGAACTATGCTCAGTCTTTGCCGGTAATGGTACACCATTAGTAGTCTTCATTTTCCATCTTCTTGTCTCTGAATGTTTGGGGAATGAGTGAGTGATGATGAATGTTCGATGGCAATAATAACAACATACCAAAGTTATATTCATGGAGATCACTCTTTACTTCTCTGATAAATGTATGACTGTCCGGCAAGTGTCCACCATATATATACATTCTGTTGTTGTGTACCACAGCAGTATGACATACTCTAGGTGGTGGCTTATTATTTGTTTGAAGTCTAATTGTGAACATTCTCCATAATGAATACTCTGATGATATCCTCAAGAACTTCTTTGATACTAATCTTAAAATACATATATCAGCGACTATTAATCATTGATTGATTGATTGATTGATTAGTTAGGTAATTCTGATTGATTGATTGATTGAATAAACACATACAATCTAAATAAGAGAATATATATAAAGTGACCTCATATGGGAGATAGAATCCTGAATCCATATCATAAAAATCATCCTCCACCAAGCCATCGCCAATAATATTATCGCCAGGTAATCCAAGACATTTTGGTGACTTTGGAAAGACCATTGTTCCAATAATATATTATCCAATTAAATGTTATCCCTGCTTAGTTGAAAGATTGACCCTGTAATAACTTGTAGTAGTTGTAGTAGTAATAGTAGTAGTAATAGATGTGAAATTAGTGTATGATAAATTGGAGATTGAATGAATCAATCAATCAATTATCTAAGGTCTGTATGAAACAATGTAGAATGAACTCCACAAACAACCAATGATATCAATCATCTTACAATCGATTGTCAATGATACCACCCACCTAACCCATGAACGGCACTTGGTAGTAGTGCACATCACCATCCATGGATGGACTGGTGAGAGGCATTCATCGATGGTAGGTGAGTGTATGTATCAAAAGGATGTAGTCTACCCTACCTGCATGACTCTTTGTGCAATGAAACGAGTGACTGACAATGAGAAAGACATACAAGTGGTTGTTTACGAACAACTATTAATAAATTCTCTATCTATCTATCTATCTATTGTTGATGTGACATCTGATATCGTTCAATCAGATACGTTATGTGTGTGTATGTGTGTGTGTAAGGGTTGATGTTGAGTGATGTCCAGGACAGACATCCGACTTCACCACACCACAACACACCACACACGATCAGATGATGATGTGTTGATCAAATGATGGAGATTTCCATGACTTGGTCACTGGAACGAGGGCAATGAACATTAGAACTATCCAGTGGTAGTCATTGATGTGGTGGCAAGGAATCTCTTCAATGTCTGGTCGAATACATCAAAGCTATCATAATGATGTCTTCTGATAACTCTAAATATTGATAATGTCACATTGATCGTTTGATTGATTGATTGATTGATTGATTGGTGTCCAATTGTTAGATTACAATGATTGGTTCGTTCGAGTTTGTATGATACTTACTCAAAGAAATCACGTAGTTGTTGTGCATCACCTCTGATCAACATTCCTACACCATCCTTCACATCGATTCCATCATTCTTGGACATATCCATGAGTTCATATAATGTTTGACTAAGTTTGTCTTGGGCTGCTCGCCACGGGGCAATGAAGTAATATGTCCATGTTAGCGAACACTATGACTGAATGACTGGCTGATTGACTGAATGACTTACATGTGTTGTACTCTGGATTCAATGCCAAGATCATTAATAACTTGATGAACTGATTCTTCATTGATACGAATATCTGAAGACGATGAACACTCTTGTTGAAAGCTACAAAGAATGATGACACTGATTGTAGTGCTCCACTGTGAATGTCTGAGCTTGTACTACGTAGACAGCTCTCAGCCAATGTCAGATAGCCTCCAAAGAGCTCCTCGTCCATCAGTGCCGCCGCCGGTCCAGACACAATGACCTCCATCAATGTCCACAACTTGCTACAAATGGCCTGTTGCTGCTGTGCCGATGACTTGTAGATAAGTGACACAAAGTATTTGATCACTGATGGGCTCATCGTCGAGCTGAGTGCGCGGACCAGGTTGTCATTGGACAGCAGTACACTGAGGAATTGGAGTATCTTGGGCAGGATTTGACTGATGAATGCTGGTGATGAGGTATGTGGATCGTTGGTGAGTAGTCCAAGCAAAGGGACAACTACTCCATTGACAATGGCATCGATCTTTTGCTGTGGCAGTCGTCCAACCTCGGCATTTTGATTGAGGCAACTCTCTAGTATCTCTATAATATTCTTCTTCAAACTTATTTGTTGACCAAGATATGATGCATCGTTGGAGGCTTGATTACTCCATCGATAAAGTTCAAGCAAATGGCCAGAGATTGAAATGAGCTGTGATGAATAGATCGGCAACTTGGCAGACTTTGACAATGATGTATTATATTGAAGTATGCTATTGACATTGTTTGACCATTCATTCAAGCCATGTGTTTCCAATCTCTTGGAGAACAACTGGAATGGTTGGAATGATTAATTGATTGTGAGTGAGTGAGCGAGCGAGTATGGATTGCCTTGATCTGGATGATCACAATGATAATTACGATTTGGCCCAAAGGTTCTGTGATGAGCGCCAAGTAGGACGCTGGTAATTCTCTATTTACAACTCCAAATGAATGGAAGTAGGTGCCAATGCATTCATATATAATCATTCTCTGTGATGTGATGTAATATTTTAGTACCATGTCGATTGATTGAATGATTGATCAATACGTACGTGTGACTTGTTTAGATTGGACAGACCAAGCATCTGATTAAGTGTGATGTGTAGGTCTGGAAAGTCCATGACTAGTTGACCTGATCGAACATTGATCACTGTCAATAGTGTGTAGATGCTTATTTCAACGATGGCTGATTTCTCATCACCAGATTTGATCCATTCGAGTAGTAGCTGAATGATAGGTGTCACTTTAACATCTGGTGTCGCAAGATATCTCTTGGCATTCTGTATAGTATAGAGTACGGCCATTGCCACCAAGCTGGCGTACTGTCCACCAAATGGGTCTTTGAAATTATACACGCTACTAACCAATCCGTCCACATCGCCATTTGATCTACCATAATCCAGACACACTCCAACGCACCATATTGCTGAGCTAAACTTACTTGGTGCAAAGTACTCTTGTTTCTGTTGTTGGTGATTGAGTGAGCAAGGGGCGAGCGATTGAGTCTGGGATATGTGATCACTTACTGATGTAATCTTGGTCAACTTCTGGATGAAGGAGTTGTAGGCCAATGCGGAGTAGTTGAGAAGGAGTGACTTCAAACATGGCTGGATTATTTGGGACATTGTGATCCAGTCGTCATCTGTTGAATCCCTTGTAAGACGATATAGTATTCCTCTCTCTGCCCCATTCTCTCTTGTCTCAATCAGCTCGCGATCTTGATTCTTCAACATCTTGTACAACGACCTGCTGATTGGTTCGACCAAAGGTGTTGCATCAAATACCGTCTGTTGTTTCTGCTGGCGTGCTTCATTCAAACTGTCAAACTATTGAATGTAACAATGTTTGGATGATTGATTGAGTGAGTGAATGAGTGAATGAGACGACGACATGTCGACCGAGACTTACCTTGAATGTCCAATAGTCTAAACATGATTGTGAGATGCTTTGATCATTGATCCAACTCATGAGGATGATGTGACGGTCGGCAACAAGTACGGCATCTGGACAGGATGTGTGGAGTGTGCCGAAGAACTTGCGAATGGTCGATGTGAGCAATGTGACAATGTTGGTGCAAAGAATTCCATTGTTGACATAGAATCCATTGACCTGCTTGAAGCTCGCCGGTATGAATTGATTGAGTGTACCAACGATAGCCTTGAAGAAGGTGCTGATCGCTTCAGATTGTGTATCTGGTGCCAATGCATTGATAAACTCAATAAGGATGAGTGTGCATGTGCCGCGATGTGCAGGCGTGGCACTGATGCGCTCGACCACCAGATTGAACGACTCATAAAGTGCGTTGGAGTCAACCAACTCGAACTGCTCCGACATGGCAGTAAGTGCCTCGCTGACCAATGGCTGTGGCGCACCTGCATTGGCGGCCACCTGGCGACAACGTCCAAAGAGGTCGCCAAAGATTGATCGCTGCAAGCGTAGTGCCTCGGCATCTAGTGTGAACATGGATGTAATGTTGCGCTTGTAGTGCAGTGCCAGTTCGCGAATGATTTGCAATAGTGACTCCAAACACTCGGGTCTCGAGCCAGCCGCCACAATCACACCAATGAACTGTTGCCAGTTTGGATGCTCCTTCACGATGCACTGTGCCACCAATGAGTTGGTCTTCTTGCGTACCAGAGCACTGGGGGTGGCTGGATTGGCAGACGGTGCAATGTTTACAATGGTCAACAATTGGTTCAAGATTGGATGGCGCTCTTGTGGTGCCAGACTTGTCCATTGACGTCTAATCACTTGTTCCAATATTGTAAGTGCAAAGAACAATGACTTCTCATTAGTCGATCCAGCAAGTATTGTATTAATACGTGTCCAAGCTTGAGGATGATTAATAAACTGTTGTAATACAGCTCCTACTTTGGCTTCCTGATTTCAGACGTATGGTTAGTCATTGAATGAGTGAGTGAGTTGGCATCAACATACATTCTGATTGTCTATGAGTTGATCCAACAACTTGACTTCAAAGTTGTTTGATCCAAAGTTGAGTATATTCTCCATTGATTGTATGTATGTATAAATGTATGTATGTATGTACAGTGTTATCTCTATCTCTATCCTTCAACCAAACATTCACAAAGTTAAAGATAAAGTGAAGGGTACCCCCTTCATTTTAAAAGTGGATGTTCAACCAACCACCTGTTGCGTGCGTGGACATTCAAGGTCGCCACGAGGCGGATGACGATGGAGACACACTGGCAGTCATTGATTAAAGCGTAGCTAGACTTATTTTATTATAAAATGACCAAGGAGTGTAAGCAGTCGTCTGGAATAGAGAGATTGCAAATACTCTTAGAGGAGCAACTCGTATCTGAGTGGGGTGATGGTCTGGAGCTCAGAGTCTCTTGGGTTGACAAAGAAGCCGGTCTTGGGTGGGACTGGGAGAATTGGGAGAACGACGGTCTTGCCAGCCTTGCGGGCAGCGATGGCCTTCTGGAAAGCAGCCTTGCGCTCGGCGATGGCCTTCTTGGTGGCGGCCATCGAGTTGGATGGGCGGACGTGCTCAATGCGGACGTGGATCTTCTTGGCGATGTAACGTGGACCGACACGCTTGTTGAGGACGATTCCAACTGAGCGTGGGGTGACGTTCCAGACGCGACCAGTACGGCCGTGGTAGTACTTGTGTGGCATACCCTTGTGGACGTTACCGGTGGTCTTGACATCAACGATGTCTCCAAGACGGTAGGTTCTCAAGAAGGTGGTGGTCTTGAGAATACCATGGTTTCTGAATCCACGAGCGAACTTGTGTCTGGTACCTGCGCGTTGACCGTATGAGTGAGTCATTTTCTAAATCTATAATGTTGTTGTGGTTGATTGATTGATTGATTAGTAATCTTGTCTTATTTTGTCTTGTCTTTTTTAATCAATCATCATTCATTCATTCATTCATGAATCCATCGATGTTTGTAGTGTGTTTGTCTTGATATTTCTAGTTGTCGTTGTCGTCATCGTCATTGTCGGTCGATATAGTCACTATCCACATCATTGTCATCTTTGTCGATCCTATCACACCAAACTGTTTGATCATCTCCACCAACATATGATTCACCGGTACAACTCCATATGTTAGACGATCGGCTAACATAGTTATCTACAATTGACCAACTGTGATAATGAGTCCATATTTCCAACATCGAGATACACTAGTCGCTTCTTGTTATCGCTTTGTCCTAATTATCATCATCATCAACATCGACACTCATAATCAAACATAAATTGATGATGAATGAATGAATGAATGAATGAATAATGTACATGTATCTGTGACCTACCTAGCTAGTATGATGGTGAATCCTGTAAAACAAATCAAAGTCAAGTGTCTTCATTCATCTTCGCCAGAGGCATCCCACTCATTCCTGCACCTCTCACACATTTCGTCAAGTGTAGTGAGAATCGCTTTTTAAAAATAAATTCAATTCAAAAATAATCAAACTAGTGTTGATGTTTGTGTAATTATTATGTAAATTTAGTTACATAAGTTTGTATAAGATTAGTTGATTTATTTTTTTTTATTTTCAAGAATGCGTGTGTTAGACAGAGTCTGAGTTTGATGATTTCGAGGGTCTGTCAACAACTATGTCTCACTTTCTCGTACATACTCTGAGTGATAGAACAGCATATACAAGGTGAATATCATATCATACAGGCAACTCAATTCAATCAACATCACAACAACAACAGCAGCCAACAACAAGCAGAGAATATGTATACTTGCGAGAAACAATAATGCGAGAGAGCGATCAAGTGAGCGACTGTTTGTCAATTAATGAATGCCAAGATCATGACCAACCACGACATCAATGACAATCAATGGTTATCAGTGATGATATGTCATGAAGGATTTGGAGACTTTGATCTGATCAAACATTCACGACAGATAGATGATATGTTGCCAGTCGATGTGACGCGAACTCATTGACAATAGTGACAAGACAGAAGACGCTCGATCAATCCAACTTATTCACAGCATCAATCATCAATAATTCATCGTCAATCATCCAACATTCATCACATCACCCTAAAGATCGTGACGACAATTATTCTAACAAACATAATCCTCGCACATTCATTCAAACAATCAATCAACGATCAATGAAATGAAACAACATTATGCGATACATCATAAATTTGATAATATATAGATGGCCACCATGCAAAGTGTAACTGTTAAGGATGTTGCCCCACAAGACTTCATTGCCCACTACGCCAAGTTCTTGAAGAGAACTGGACGTGTCCACGTTCCACGTTGGGTCGATATCGTCAAGACTGCCACTCACAAGGAGCTCCCACCCATCAACCCAGACTGGCTTTACGTTAGAATCGCCGTCCTGGCCCGTAAGGTCTACCTCCGTCACGGTGATGGTGTTGAGTGCTACAGAAAGGTTTTCGGTGGCAACAGACGTGATGGTGTCCGTCCAAACCACTTCCACATTGCCAACGGTGGTCTCATCCGTTACGCATTGAAGCAGCTGACCGCTCTGAAGGTCATCGAGACCGATGCCGTCAAGGGTGGACGCAGAATCACCTCCACTGGTCGTCGTGATCTCGACCGTATTGCCAAGCAGGTGTACAACTTGAAGCACGGAATCAAGAACTAAGCGCTCAACCCTTCCCTTGATGTGTAGAGAAAGAGACTAGGTTATAGAGGATAATAAATAAACTCTATGCCATCTTTAGTAATCAATCATCTTCCTTCCAATCTTCCTTCCATCAAACACACATTCAGTGCTGATTCCATGGACATGTTCAGTGATAGAGTTACATCATTATAACTCCAATTACATCTTCTGACCATTCAGTGAGTGTTTGTTGTTGGGTGGAGCCAAGTGTTCAGGGAGTCTCGTCGTGTGTGTATGAGTGTGTCGGTGGGGGAAAACTTCAGACCGACACATGATCATCACAAAGTCTCAAGACAAACCCGGTCTCTGGGGTCAAAGTGATAATCACTTGTTTTTGGGATTCCAAGCGATTAGCCAACAGTCACCTGGGATACATTATTTATAAATAGACCTCACATATCATTAGTAATAAAACATTCCACAAACAATCAAACTAACAAAGAAATAATAATTAACATCTAACTACCATTAAATATTTATTAATTACCATATCTAAAATGACATACGAAATTGACATTGATACCAACACCAATATTAACAATAATAACAGTATTAAAAATGATGTTAATGTTGTCCAACCTTATCCATCTGCCCCACCCGCAGTTTACCAAGTTGATATCCAACAACAACATCAACAATATATTCCAGGTACTGGATATTATTATCAAGTACCAAGTGCACCAACAAAAACTACTACAACTCAACAGAACAATATTGGTAATCCAAACTCAAAACTTGAACAAAAGATATTGAGAAAGATTGCCAAGTTGGAGAGGAAACATCAAGATCTTTGTGGTCATCCAGAGTGCAAGGCCAACAAGTGTCATGAGAGTAGATTGGCAAGGGAGCTGGAGAAGAAGCAAATGAAGATTGAGAGATGGATCCAGAGGAAGGATGCCAGAATGGAGAAGATCAGATCAAAGCTTGCCGTCAAAATGCCAGCCCTCGCAGCAGAGCTGGACAAGAAGAGGTCATTCTTGAGATCGTTGGGTGAGAGGAAGTCCAGTACCAACCAGATTGACAATGCAGAGGATAGTATACAGCAGAGATGTGCAGAGGAAGAGATGGTCGAGATGGGCAAGATCAAGGTCAAGAGATTGAGTTGGAGAAAGGAGATCAACGCCATTCTCAAGCAACATCAACCAGGTGACATCATCCCAAGAGACAGTCTGAAGCAACAGATTGTTAATATCCAGGTTGCCAAAGTACAAGAATCAATCCAACAACAATTTGACAAAAAGGTTTGTATTTCTTACAATCAGGGAATCGTGCCTGGATGGGATAGTTCCAATCACTTACACCAAATCAATCAATCAATAATTTAGATTATTAAGGATACTGATCGTTATGTTGTATTGGAGAACGGTGATATCCAGGTTTTGGCAAGATCCTAAGACCTAAATTATTATTATTCGTTAAACTAATAATAAACCACCTATTTCCATTTCACCATCATGGAAGCTGACAGTCTAAATGATTGATCGATCTCGATTCCTGGCTAACACCAATGGTCCAACTACTTCATTGATGTATATGAATGCAGAAGTAGGTTGTAGGATTCGTTGAAGAGACATAGTGTGACCTATGGGATCAAGGAGAATGTTGACAAGGAAGACACGATCATTCAAATAGAGGATCTGTCTGTTCAAGTCAAATGTGGAGAGAATCGCGTATTGACAGTGTACAACGACAAGTTATCGCTATCAAACTACTTGACTGTGTTCGTCGCAGCATGTTTTATCGTTGTCAACTTGGGTTCAAGAACTCTGGTCGTCACCATCTTTTCTCTCTATGTCTCTCTATCTCTACTTCCAAACTCAATTGCTATTCTCTGTCTACAGAACACAACAAAGTAATGTGTAGACCAACTACAACCCATGGGTTGTCTTGCCAATCACTGACTTGGCTTGGGTCATTGTCAACATACCCTCACACAAACCAAACAGTCCATATTTGGATGTTCAAGAACATACACACCCCCACAAACCCATCAAAAATTGCTTGTCATATTAGTTGAAAGTGGGTGGAAAGCAACCCATCCGAACCCAAACCTTCATCCTTGATTTGGACATTAATTAAATATTTGAATTGATTTTATTTTTATTCAGATCTGAACTCTTACTCTGTGTCTCTCTCGCATCCAGCCGCAACACATAAGTACAGTCACTGGAACATTATTGTTTCTTCATCACAACTTAAATCAAATAACTGTATAATATAACAACATTTACCTGTTTTTTTAAAACACTTTATCTATCACTCATATAAACTACAATGGAAGGAGAAGACGTTCAAGCTTTGGTTATTGACAACGGTTCCGGAATGTGCAAGGCCGGTTTCGCCGGAGATGATGCTCCACGTGCTGTGTTCCCATCGATCGTTGGTCGCCCAAGACACACCGGTGTCATGGTCGGTATGGGTCAGAAGGACTCCTACGTCGGAGATGAGGCCCAGTCCAAGAGAGGTATCCTGACCCTCAAGTACCCAATTGAGCACGGTATCGTCACCAACTGGGATGATATGGAGAAGATCTGGCATCACACCTTCTACAACGAGCTCCGTGTCGCCCCAGAGGAGCACCCAGTCCTTTTGACTGAGGCCCCACTCAACCCAAAGGCCAACCGTGAGAAGATGACCCAGATCATGTTCGAGACCTTCAACACCCCAGCCATGTACGTTGCCATCCAGGCCGTCCTTTCCCTGTACGCCTCTGGTCGTACCACCGGAATCGTCATGGACTCTGGTGATGGAGTTTCCCACACCGTCCCAATCTACGAGGGATACGCCCTCCCACACGCTATCCTCCGTCTGGATCTCGCTGGTCGTGACCTCACTGACTACCTGATGAAGATCTTGACCGAGCGTGGATACTCATTCACCACCACCGCCGAGCGTGAGATCGTTCGTGACATCAAGGAGAAGCTCGCCTACGTCGCCCTAGATCG